AGAAATCTAAAAAGGCTGGGAATTTAGTCTTCTGTTTATGAATATCCAGTAAAGAAGGATTTGTTATGACATTACATTTTTGGTTATAATTGTGTGTATATAAAAAACACTTCTGGTATTCTATTTGCTGCCAGAAGTTGCTCCTATTCCATTTTTAGGATTATTTTTCAAGATAGTTAAATTTGCCCAAACAGAAAAACAGGCACTTAGGGTAGCAATGCTGTGCAACCTGCCTCCTTTGGACTTCTAGTGGTACAATATTCCAGTTCAGAAACAATCTAGATGCTTTAGTGGCAGCAAAGGTTTCCTCTTCTCTGAAATGAAATGCCTTCATTTTTACTTAAAAAAAAAAAAAAAAAAAAAGGCTTGTGTGCGCCAGCATTTCAAAAGTATTAATAATCAGACCATAAGGGATATTTCCACAATGTATTTCTGTTCCTTTTAGACTGAAAATAAACAGGATGGGACTAAGTTGCCAAAAGCAGCTCAATATATTTGCTGAGACAACATTTCAAGAACTTCTGCATACCTATTTTTGAAACGTTTGTCTCTGTCTTTACTGTTGTTTTTCACGTCGAACATTAAACAAGTTAGTGCTTCTTTAGCTCCGTATTGCGTTATCTACTTTTATCTGTGTTATAAGGAGGAAAGTTGTTCAAACTTCATAAATATTGCGTTACTTCCTTGTTAAACCAAGTAGAATCTTATCCATTTGGAATGCCTTAATTTGTTGTTGATGTAGTAGTAATACAACTAATAAATTAGTCTCTGGAAAACTCCAGTGTCCAGTGCCTCTCAGACCTTTTTTAAAGAAAATGAAGTCTTGACAGTATATTCTGCTTGTGTACTGTCTCAGTTTAAAAAAAAAAACAAAGAAGGCAATCAGCTTTCAACACAGAATGGCAAGATAAAAGTCCCTACAAAATGGGGTATTTGCTTGTTAATAAGCAAAAAACAACTGTGAAAGGCCCAGAGTTGAGGCTAAGAAGGCATTCGTAATTAAACAGATGTAAAAAAAAAGATGGAGGCAGAAATTCTTACTGAAATTATAGAATGTCACTGAAACTACCTGGACAGCGTGCCAATCCAATAGTTCATAGAACTTCTACCAGGGATGTGGCACTTTACAAGACTTGGAAGATTAGGACATAACTGAATATTCTAGTTCTACCCTACACCTCTCTCTGTCCATTTCATGCCATGCTATTGGTTGCATCACATGGAGCCTGTGAGGAACTAATCCCCATTTTCACTGGAAATTTACTGGTTCTATTTCCAAGGGGTCTTTCATGGCCATGGAGGAGGGAGCTAGATTTTGCATTTCATATATAATATGCTGTTAGTCTTCCTTGCTTCTGACAATGCATGCCTAATTCAGTAATAGCCCGTGAAAAATATAAGCTTAGATAACACATTATTTTCATCGCCATTGGAAAGGTGACATCTAATAACACATTGCCAGTGAAGGCAACATATTTTGGATAAAGTGTATACACTCATGTAGGGATATTGAGGATACAGGCAAGGGAGTAAGTTGTTTCTTAATATTGTTCAAATTTGTATTCTCAACATATATTGCAAATTACTTAAATATGCACTAAAGCAATATACGGATTATTATGTCTAAAATACATCCATACTTTTATCATCAACTCAAAGACAAGGTCAATTTGCACTTAGTGGTTTATCAAAGCAATGAGATAAAGATATAAAACTTTGTGTAACCAATGGCACATGAGGAGGTAAGAACTGCAACATTACATCTGGCTGCCTTTGTTTCTGCAGTCCAAATGACCAGGTACACATTTAGAACCGACTCAGTTGAGGGCAGCCTCCTGCACAAGTCTGGCACCAAACTCACATCTGAGACGGCACAGCTGGAACTATTTGTTAAGCACAACCTACTCATTTACCGTATACTCGTAATTATCTCAGGTTCATTTATGGATGTGAACCATTTTAAACACTGCTAAAAAAAAAAGCACAGCAAGCATGTCAAAGCACCAAATGTCTTTTAGGGGAGGGTGCTTTTCCCTCACTGCTGTTTAAACCCTTCACTTGGTGATTTGCAATGGGATTCTGTGTATTTTCTAGCAAAATATCACCACTGAGGGGGAAACAGGTCTAGACCTCTTGGGACAAATGTGCCATTTTTACTAGGCCAAGACCTTGGATGTTTTACCAGCGTTTCTTGCTTCCTCTTAATTTGTGCATACTTTCAATCACAAGGAAACTTAATTCCACTTCCACCAGAACGTCATTTGGAACAGTTCAATTCCCGCTGAACCACAACCTGCACAAACCTCTGAATGAAACAGTGGTAAAATTGCCCTGAGATCCCCGAGTCTCAATGCTTCTTCTGTTGTCAGGAAATACCTATGAAAGAGTCCCATCTCTGCCTCTAGTGCTTCTACACAAAGAAAACAGCCCTTTGTTTTGTTGCTTTGCTTTCTTAAGTGGAAGAGATCTGTGCTGCTGGTCTAAAACTTCCAATCTGCTGATTATTCACACGTAGATACCAATATGAGGCCACAGTAGAATTGGTTGGGGTTTTTTTGTTTGCTTTTCTACATGCAGAACACTACATGAACAAGAAGAGCACCAAGGCTACACAAGTACACATTTCAAAGTTAAATAACGTTAATATTTGCTACAACAACTTAATCTGGGCATGTGCATTAAGACAGTGTGTGATCATATATTTAAAAACTATTTTCCCAATAGAAACTTTTTTCTGATTTAGTGCATAGAAGGGACAGTACTCACTAAATTCAATACTTCATTTTCATTGTTATTCAAAATGCGATCCCAAGCCTTATTTACTGCATAATATTGATACCCCAACTATTTAAATATACAAAACTGAATTTCTTCATGGGCTTCTCTGTAGTTCATGGCAACAATGGGCGCCTATACACGTGCAGGGAGGCAGCTCCAACATGCTACATTACAGCGTGTTGGAGCACACTCGATTATTTGAATCTACGGGAGTATGATAATTACTGCACTCCAGCAGACTCCAGATCATACGCATCAGTGGCAGGGTGGCAGGGGAGCTTTAACTAAAGCTTGTTTGATGAGCTTTAGTTAAACCACCCCTGTTGCTATTTTTCAGCATGGGGACCCTGATACATGTAATGCTCTGGGCACTGTAAATTAGAGTGGCTCCTTCCCCCCCCCCCCCGGAGCATGTCTGTAAACACTGAATATTATCTGTGCGATTCATAAGATTTAATGATTTACTTTCATAACACTCCTGTGGGTTGAGTTTTATTCCCTTTGTACAGGTAGGAAACAGAGGCAGAGAGAGAAAATAAAATGTAGTCAATTTTGGATTGAGGACCTACAACATGTATGACGTACATGAAGCACTATATAATGTTAAGTTAAAAGCACAGCTCTGATTCACTCCAGCCAGCACTGCAGCTGTGAATGCACAGCATTTCTCAAAGTCAGACCCTGGGATCACAAGTCAGGCACTGAGAAATGAGCAGACACTTGGCAACCACAGGTGAAGAGTCTATCATGCTAGGCAAGTCATTTAAACCAAAGGAACTTTGTGGCAGAGGCAGCGATAAATTCTTATTCTCCAGCTTGGCATTCAACTGCCTTCACGCTTAATCCCCTTCCACATTCTGTCCATATCTTTTACCCCTGATAATATGAGGCAGGAGTCCTACACAGACAACAGCTGCTTTCAGTACATTACCCCGATTCATCCCCAAAGCAGGCCCAGGGTGGTTGGGAAGGAGGAACTGTTGGCAATTAATAAAAACTGTAGCATTTGCACAAGAGTTGAACTGAGGTTGCCCAGGCAATTGGAATGATGACATAGCCTAACAATGAGTGTTTAACGCTAATACTGGAAATATTTCAACAACTTTTCCTTCCTGCAATTAATTTAGTTTAAGCAAAGCAAAGCCTGGAGCAACATACAGAGACCATAGTTTGGGATTTTCTGAAGGAGCTAGGTGAGAGAGAGGGGGGAGAAGAATTGTGTCACTCACTATCCCATTGTTTCCCATGAAAATCTCATCCCCCAAAATAAAACTATTGGTTTATGGTCAGTGGTCATAACTGCTCCACATGGAACAGAGCTATTCCAAGTGACATCTCTGCATGCTTATACCTCACTGGATGGTCTGAGCATCTCAAGGACTCTGCCCATATATCGTACTGGAGGGTCAGACTGGTCACAGAATTATTCCCCCTAGGGTTGATTAAAAGATTAAACATAACTGGGTTCTTATTTTGTTAATTGAGAAAGGCCCTCCTGCTCATTATGTTCACCACTGAGTTTAGAATTGAGTTTGGTTTATCAGTGAAAATCTAGGTCCAGGCAGAAGCAAAACCAATTAGATAATTTGTAAAATGTCTCATCTGCTGCACTGCACCTTTATGTCCTTGTACTCCCAGAGTCTCATTTATACTGCCCGAGTTTAGGCAGCTGCTATTTTCTTCATTTGCCTCTCAGTTCTTTAGTCTGATGTTAAGAGCCTCAGAACTTCTTTCAAGGTATGCTTTACAGTCTTAATTTCTTATAAGTGAAAATATCTAAATCCATTATTAAGACCAAACATATCCATGTTGGGACTTTAATGCCCATAGGGATTAACCTATTCTTCACTATTTAGTAAATGCAAAAAAGAAAAAAAAAAAGAAAAAAGAAAAAAAAAGATTACTCTCCCCCTCATAATTGTACATTTTTCTGAATGCCTGAAAGGGACTCAGTAATCTTTATAAATGATTCATCAAAAGAAATAACAAGGGAGAGGAGTTTAGCAATGCAAGCCTGAGCAAGATGAAGTCACTGAAACAGCTCATTATAACGGAGAGACTGAATTAATGAATGAAAATATAAAAATTTAAATAAAGAAACAAAAAGTGCCTTCAAATAATTAGAATCCAAATAATCTAATTAAGGGAAAACAATATAGGATAAAAGTAGTACACATGATGTAAAAATGATCCGCAGATTATTATGCAAAAAGATAGTTTACAAACAACTTTATTTTGTCCTGTTTTCAAGTATTTCTTTATAAAGAATGCTTCAATACCTTGACCTATATTAAACAGACCACACAGTAAAGGAATATTCTGTTCTAAGGTAGCCTAAACAGACCGCAAGCAAATACTTGGAAAAAAGGTGGTTAACAAAGACTGCTTTCATACCCAGGAGATTTTCTGAATTTCATAGCTTTTAGAAGTTCAGTCTACATTTAGCCCAAAGAATATCAGTCAGCTAAAGTTACATGTAGGCATGGACATTATACAGGTCAAGAAATGCAATGCAAACACGTATTTCTGCAATCTGTAAACATCTGCTTGAAGTGGGAAAAAAATAAAGGTACAATGTAAAGAAGGGAAATGAAAATTTGGAACAAAAGAACCTGGTGTTAAAAACAATTAACTCACTGCTCCAGTTCTGGAGTTCTTATATTTTACTTAATTTATATTAGCACCCAATCAGTCAGGTTCAAAGGAGAAAGAATTGTTACTTAACGTCACTAAGTAACCTGCTTAGAAGTGTTACTGTAGTATATGGCAATCAAGTATATTACTGCTAAAGCTCTCAAATATTGCCTATCTTGATCAAGACTTAAGCATTAACTAATGAGAGAAATAATTTAAATAGTAACAGGTGAACATACAGGGTATTAAAAGAAAACTTTGTGATCATGCACATCATGATGAACAATAATTCCTTTAAATGTATAAGTCATTAAATACAACACACTTTCTAGAAGTAGGCACTGAAAATAGCAATGTGCTAAATTTACTAAAATACACAAGAAAACGCTAGTATTAATTTAAAATTACCATTTATTTTTCACAAGGTCACATAGTTTTTAAAAACACTATTTTGGCACCTTAGACTTCATGGTTTAATGGTTGTTTCAAGTTTGTTTTTTTTTAAATTACAAACAGTAGATACAGTAGGAATATTTAAAACTGATTCCTTTATACATGGCAAGTCAAACCACTTAGGTTCATAAAAAGAGTCTTTTGCAACTTCATTTTCCTGATATAAAATTCAAGTAAGAATAGAAAATTGTGTTTACAAAACATCCTGATATTTCCTTACCAATGCTTTGAAAACAAGATTCTGCTTTCTAGTGTTGATCTGGTACATCTACAAAAATACCTCATTTCAATTGAAGGACACTTGGCGAAGAGAAGTAACATTTTAACTGGATGAGTTCTTTAAAAAAATTTTGCAATATTACATAGAAGTGCACACTTTTTATCTAAGTTATTCAGTCTGTTTCTTCATTTCTACAATGAATCCTTTTCAGCAATGCACATATTTCTTTTCAGAGGAGATGCATTTTAGTACGTTATATCAACAAACATTTTTAAAAGGTTTAACTGAGCGGTTTCATGAAGTAGCCACCAACATGAATAATTTTTTACTTAAATGAAAAATTTTATTCACTTTTGCTGGGGACTGGGATTCACTTGATACTACTGCTACATGCTCTTCTACTGGTATCTTTAAAATATAAATACCAAACAAATTCAGCTGTTTCACTTTACTGAAGGAAAACCAGAAAAAATTTAGAGATATAAAATCATCCAGTAATTTTTGCTGTAACCGAAAAATTGATTCATTTAAAAAAGTAGTTCCATTTTCCCTTCCTACCATGCTCCACAAGACAGCAAAAATGGAGAAATAAGCAGGATATTCTTACTTTGTGACTTAAGGCTCAGAAAATACTTTTGGAAAATTTCCCAACAATTTTAAAGCTGTTTTTATTGTTCAATCTTCTAGTCCAAAGTAAAGATGCTGTCTATAGGAAGCAATTTACATTTTCTTTTATCATGATTGCTATCTTCTTGGAGGAAAACTATAAATAAGTATTTGTGCCAAAGAATCAAACACTGGCTTTGAAATGGCAGAAAAAAATTTAAAAGTTAAGGATCAATGAACGATACTGCAATGTATCTCGTTCCATTTAAAATGGGAAGTCCTTCATGTAAATGAGTAAGTCTTCCTGGATGCATGAAACTCCATCCTTTTCTGGGTGACTCAATGGAACAGTTGTACCTAAGGAATTTGCAACCACCTCCCTGTCACAAAGTAAGAGAAAAAAAGAGCTTAGTTCGGTTTATAACTGCGTTTACAAACAGGGATTGTTATTTAAATAGAAAGTGTTTATTAATAGATTATTAACAAAGGAATTTCATTAGCTATTAGTGATAAGGCTACTTAAGTGATGTTGTCTTTGGTGTTGTACCTGTGGCAGAAATGGTGAAGTCTAGTCCATTTTGCATTGACAACCAGCAGCTCCTTTAACTAGATGCAACAGTGTATTTTTAAGTACACCACCTTTCAGAAACACTATTGAAAGTGTTATAACATTAGACTAGGGCAGTGGTGCTCAGTCTTTAGGCCCTGCGTTAACTCCTCTCATTCCCATGCTCCCGGGATGCTGCCTCTATCCAGCCTGCGTGTGCCTGAATTGGCTCTACACTACCTCTTCCTGACCCTGTGCATCCGTATTGAGCCCCACATGCAGGGCAATGCTATCTGGCCCAAGGGGCTCCCATGGGTGTAGAAATTTGGCAGCTGGGGAGTGGCCATCATTCAACCGCTGTCAAATTTTTGGATCTGCATGGAGCCTTGCAGGCCAGATGACAACTCCATGGGCAAGATCTGGCCCACAGACTGGGGCTTGAGAACCCCTGCCCTAGGGGAATGGACAAACATTCATTGAGAAGAGTTTCAAAAGTGGGTATATGTGGAGGGAGAGGGGAAGGGGTGGGCAAACTGTTGCTCAGGAGCACAGGCCTGTAGGAAACCTATACCAACTTTAACTTCGCTTCACCCAAGGTTAGAGCTGAAGCAATATAGCTCAGGTAGTACTGAATCACATTTTAATTGCTTTCTCAAATCAGAGCTCTCGAACAGGAATAGCATTTTCTAAGTGAAGCAGGTTTCATAATCGTTTAACCATAAGCCTAGAGAAAGTATTGCATGCCTTAGTGCAGCGGTTCTCAACCTTGATAGACTTGAGTCCCCCTTCAGAAAACACCAGCTCTCAAGTTCTCTCTCTCATTTTTTCACTACAGAAAAAATAAGAGAGAGATTGTTCTCTTGCAAACAACTCAGAAAGACCTCAACAGGTCAGAATGATCTCTGGGCATACCCAGACAATTGTGGATGTGCAGTGCGTGGCACCACAGACCTGTCTATGCCATGATACTTGGCACAAGAAGGTATTCCCCACACTGCTACTTTGCAGCATGGGGGCATTTTTTGACCCCGGGAGATCCCGGGACCCTTGAAAGGACCTCAAAGCACCCCAGAGCGTCACAGCACAACAGTACCTATGAAGCAGCTGTTCCTATGAATCACTGCATTAGTGGGTAAAAATTAAACAAGCTGCTCTAACTAGAGTAAGTAATCCAAGGCCAGATTCTACTCCTAATTACCATATTCTCTTGCTTACAACATGCACCTTCCCTCAAAATTTGGAGGGGGAGGGCAGTGTTGTAATAGAAGAAATACAGTAACAGAAGTTGCTGTCACTTCAGCTTCTGCAGGGAAAAATGAAAGTAAAGCTGCATGTGCTACAGCATGCAGGGATGCATAGCTGCTCGCTTTCAATATCAGTTTTAAATATTTGAAAAAGTTTATCTAAATGCAGAGATAAAATAAAATTTTTCATTTTGGATGGATACAAATATTTAATTCTGTCCAAAACAAAATGTTTAGTTTCATTTTCAAGTTACTTATCCCTTTTTAAACCATCTTCCCACCATCCCTCTACCCTAGCACAGCCCCCCCAAGGAAGGAGTACTGTCTGCCTACTAGGGATGTGCCATTTTGCTTCAACTTCTGTTTCAACAGAACAGTGTTTCATTTGGGTTCAAAAACAGTGTTCTGTTTCATTTCGTCAAAACTGTTTCAACATTTCGCCCATAGGCTACAATGGGAAAGCATGAAACTGCCTATAACTTTGTCATTTCTAGCCTGATTCATATGAAACTTGCAGGAAGGATAGCCCCTTCTGAGGGCCTAAAGCCTACCAAGTTTCAAGGAGATAGGTACAGAGAGTTCTGGGAAACTGTACCTCAAGGTGCTGACAAGCAAAACTGTCACTTGCCAGCAGCAGCAGACTCCTGTGATTTGGCAGACAGATCCGGGGCCACACCCCGAGGAGGGCTGCGTAAGACTCCTCCCGGGGGCGCAGAAGCAGCCTCCTGTCATCCAACAGGCAGACTGGAGGCCCGCACTCCCAGGAGGAATCTGGCACAGGCTCCCCGGGCTGCCGGACTCCTCCCGGGGGTGCGGGCAGGCCCCCGATCTGCCTGCCGGATCACAGGAAACTGCTGCTCCTCACTGCAGCCAGCAGCATCACCAATCTTTCCAGTGCTGGGTGTGGGCTGCACCCAGCACCGGTCCCAGGCAGCAGGAGCAGCCTCCTGTGATCTGGCAGGCAGATCGAGGGCCCCCTGCAGTCCTGGGAGGTGTCCGGCAGAGCCCTGCAGCCCTCCCCAGGGTGCAGGCCCCCAGTCTGCCTGTCGGATCACAGGAGGCTGCTCCTGCCGCCTGGGACCAGCACTGAAACCAAGTAAGCCCAGCTTTGAAACTCAAAACCTTTTGAAATTTTTTAAATGTTTCGAGTGCCCTTGTTTCGAAGCTGTTTTGAAGGCATTTGTTTCATTTCGATTTCGCTGTTTTGAGCTCAAAACACATCAAAACAGCTTTGAAACAAAACACACAGCGACATTTGACACAGCCTTACTGCCTACCTGTGAGGTGAGCAGTGTTACAGACTGATGGAGTGCAACAGTAACAGCACATAGTTGGAGGTGGGAAGGGAGCTACAGAGACTCCTGTAGCCACAAAGTCCTGACAAGCGCTCCTTCAGGGTGCTGTGCTTCTGATCAGATACCAAAAACTTTTCCCAGAGCTCTCCCAATTATACAATTGGACTAATAAAAAAAATAACTAAAAAAAATCCTTGCCCCTCAGACATTTCCTGGAGAATCATAGCTACAACTTTCCCATTATACTAAATTCAAAATGTCATTTTGAAATAAAGACCTAAAAAGAACTGTTTTGGAAAGGTCCAAATTGCTATTTCTGAAATCAATTCTTACTTAAAATGCACTGAAATAAAACATCTCAGTATTTAATTTTCCCCTGCATTTTTTCAATCTAAATTTGCCAATGTCAACCCAATTTCAAATAGTTTCAGACCTTCCAATACATTATTTTTCAGCAAATTTACTAGTTATCCCCCGACCCCAAAAGCCCAGAAACTTCACGTTTCAATCTGTGCTGTCTTTTCTTCATTCACATGATCCAAACTACATCTATTTGGACCCAACCATGGAAATGATTAAGGGAAAGATCAATCAAAATTAGCAATTTTTAGTTGAATGAATAAGTGCCAGACTTACTTGAAAATCTTCTCCCACTTTGTTTAGAGCAATGTTGATGGTAAATGTAGAGGAGTCATGATGAGGTCTAAGGGAACGTTGTCTGTCAGTAGTGTATTTTACAACAAAATTCAGCAGTGCACGTCCCTGAAACAAATGCATAGTAATCCAAAGGAATGTTAATTAGTGGGAGAATTTGTATTTTACATTCAAAAGCTTGACATTCAAAAGCTTTCATTAAGTCTATAAAGTCTACCCCAACCAGTTAATCTAATAAAAGGCATCACACCCACAAAAAAATCTTTGCCTTTTACATAATTCCCTGGATGATCATGGCTACAACATCACTTGGACACTACCCGTCATTAATATTCTCAAATAGAAAGAGAAGCAATTACAACAATATTGCATTTCTCTAATAAAAGTGAGGCACTATAGCTCAAGTTTTGATAATTTTCAGTCAAGGTACAGATTTGATAGTCATCTTATATTATTTACGTACAACTTTCTCTTAGTTTGAGAAAGAAAAGGTTAGGATTAATTAAAAATATATATTAATTGCAAATTATCTACTTGAAACCATTAATTAACATAATAATGACATGTTTACCTTGGTATAATAGCCAGCAAAGACTTTTAGAGTTACTGGTGCAATAAACTCTCGAATGAAATGCAGCCATTCATTATCCAATCCTATTTGCCTCATGTGAATATCATCAGTTGGGACATTTTCATAACCTCCAGATATACGGCTATCCTGATGTAAAACCAACACAGGCCTTGAAATAGGAGAAGCAGTTTTCTGGTACATATATAATTCAAGTTATAATCTGTTTGAAAAAACTAGAGAACTATGGATGTAAAGATATGGGACTACTGTTCCTGAAGGTATAGCTGAGATCACTTTAAACTAGCTAGCTCAGATACTGCTAGCAGTGTAGTATTAGCAGCACAGACCTTGGAGCAGACTGCAAGACCCACATGAGAAGTTTAGTACATACCCAAGCAGGTAACCCACACTGAGTTCCTCTAAGTTTAAAACTAGCTTGGCTACATCAATAAACAAATAATCGCAAAGTCAAAATATGCTCAGTAGTGGCAGAGCAGGTATATTGTACATTCCAATCAAGGAGTTTTATTGAGAATACTAAAATTCACAAGGAACTGCTATTTGCCAGGTTTGCTCACAAAAGGCGAGGCTTACCTTATGTTTTCCTCCTGACCACTGTCCATAATGTTCCATTTCTTCTACCAGTTCATCACAGGCAGTTTCAGAAAATATGGGAAACCAAAAGACATCTGGGCATGGCTATAAAAAACACCCACCTCCTCATCAGTGAGAAGTCATTTGTTACTGTGATCATTTTTACTATTTTTAACTGTTAAACACAATAATGTGCTATACAGGTCACTAACGGAATGTCACTATTTACATACAAAGTCAGAATTCAGGCCTACTGAAGTAATGAAATAATTTTTTGACCCATAACTGCATTTTCATTGGAAGTAAAAACTAACTACAATGGAAAAACACAGTACCTCTTCAACTTACAAAATGTTAATTATTTTAGGTTGTATAACATTCACAATTTTTCAACAGGTAACTGATCCCAACCTATCCCCTTGTAAAATATTTGTAGATTTTTTGTTACCATTACATTTGGCTTCTGCTAGGTTCCCTTTAAACTAAAATTTGAGAAAAGAAAAGAAATACTGAAAGTGAATTATCAAAGCAATGAGATAAAGATATAAAACTTTGTGTAACCAATGGCACATGAGGAGGTAAGAACTGCAACATTACATCTGGCTGCCTTTGTTTCTGCAGTCCAAATGACCAGGTACACATTTAGAACCGACTCAGTTGAGGGCAGCCTCCTGCACAAGTCTGGCACCAAACTCACATCTGAGACGGCACAGCTGGAACTATTTGTTAAGCACAACCTACTCATTTACCGTATACTCGTAATTATCTCAGGTTCATTTATGGATGTGAACCATTTTAAACACTGCTAAAAAAAAAAGCACAGCAAGCATGTCAAAGCACCAAATGTCTTTTAGGGGAGGGTGCTTTTCCCTCACTGCTGTTTAAACCCTTCACTTGGTGATTTGCAATGGGATTCTGTGTATTTTCTAGCAAAATATCACCACTGAGGGGGAAACAGGTCTAGACCTCTTGGGACAAATGTGCCATTTTTACTAGGCCAAGACCTTGGATGTTTTACCAGCGTTTCTTGCTTCCTCTTAATTTGTGCATACTTTCAATCACAAGGAAACTTAATTCCACTTCCACCAGAACGTCATTTGGAACAGTTCAATTCCCGCTGAACCACAACCTGCACAAACCTCTGAATGAAACAGTGGTAAAATTGCCCTGAGATCCCCGAGTCTCAATGCTTCTTCTGTTGTCAGGAAATACCTATGAAAGAGTCCCATCTCTGCCTCTAGTGCTTCTACACAAAGAAAACAGCCCTTTGTTTTGTTGCTTTGCTTTCTTAAGTGGAAGAGATCTGTGCTGCTGGTCTAAAACTTCCAATCTGCTGATTATTCACACGTAGATACCAATATGAGGCCACAGTAGAATTGGTTGGGGTTTTTTTGTTTGCTTTTCTACATGCAGAACACTACATGAACAAGAAGAGCACCAAGGCTACACAAGTACACATTTCAAAGTTAAATAACGTTAATATTTGCTACAACAACTTAATCTGGGCATGTGCATTAAGACAGTGTGTGATCATATATTTAAAAACTATTTTCCCAATAGAAACTTTTTTCTGATTTAGTGCATAGAAGGGACAGTACTCACTAAATTCAATACTTCATTTTCATTGTTATTCAAAATGCGATCCCAAGCCTTATTTACTGCATAATATTGATACCCCAACTATTTAAATATACAAAACTGAATTTCTTCATGGGCTTCTCTGTAGTTCATGGCAACAATGGGCGCCTATACACGTGCAGGGAGGCAGCTCCAACATGCTACATTACAGCGTGTTGGAGCACACTCGATTATTTGAATCTACGGGAGTATGATAATTACTGCACTCCAGCAGACTCCAGATCATACGCATCAGTGGCAGGGTGGCAGGGGAGCTTTAACTAAAGCTTGTTTGATGAGCTTTAGTTAAACCACCCCTGTTGCTATTTTTCAGCATGGGGACCCTGATACATGTAATGCTCTGGGCACTGTAAATTAGAGTGGCTCCTTCCCCCCTCCCCCCGGAGCATGTCTGTAAACACTGAATATTATCTGTGCGATTCATAAGATTTAATGATTTACTTTCATAACACTCCTGTGGGTTGAGTTTTATTCCCTTTGTACAGGTAGGAAACAGAGGCAGAGAGAGAAAATAAAATGTAGTCAATTTTGGATTGAGGACCTACAACATGTATGACGTACATGAAGCACTATATAATGTTAAGTTAAAAGCACAGCTCTGATTCACTCCAGCCAGCACTGCAGCTGTGAATGCACAGCATTTCTCAAAGTCAGACCCTGGGATCACAAGTCAGGCACTGAGAAATGAGCAGACACTTGGCAACCACAGGTGAAGAGTCTATCATGCTAGGCAAGTCATTTAAACCAAAGGAACTTTGTGGCAGAGGCAGCGATAAATTCTTATTCTCCAGCTTGGCATTCAACTGCCTTCACGCTTAATCCCCTTCCACATTCTGTCCATATCTTTTACCCCTGATAATATGAGGCAGGAGTCCTACACAGACAACAGCTGCTTTCAGTACATTACCCCGATTCATCCCCAAAGCAGGCCCAGGGTGGTTGGGAAGGAGGAACTGTTGGCAATTAATAAAAACTGTAGCATTTGCACAAGAGTTGAACTGAGGTTGCCCAGGCAATTGGAATGATGACATAGCCTAACAATGAGTGTTTAACGCTAATACTGGAAATATTTCAACAACTTTTCCTTCCTGCAATTAATTTAGTTTAAGCAAAGCAAAGCCTGGAGCAACATACAGAGACCATAGTTTGGGATTTTCTGAAGGAGCTAGGTGAGAGAGAGGGGGGAGAAGAATTGTGTCACTCACTATCCCATTGTTTCCCATGAAAATCTCATCCCCCAAAATAAAACTATTGGTTTATGGTCAGTGGTCATAACTGCTCCACATGGAACAGAGCTATTCCAAGTGACATCTCTGCATGCTTATACCTCACTGGATGGTCTGAGCATCTCAAGGACTCTGCCCATATATCGTACTGGAGGGTCAGACTGGTCACAGAATTATTCCCCCTAGGGTTGATTAAAAGATTAAACATAACTGGGTTCTTATTTTGTTAATTGAGAAAGGCCCTCCTGCTCATTATGTTCACCACTGAGTTTAGAATTGAGTTTGGTTTATCAGTGAAAATCTAGGTCCAGGCAGAAGCAAAACCAATTAGATAATTTGTAAAATGTCTCATCTGCTGCACTGCACCTTTATGTCCTTGTACTCCCAGAGTCTCATTTATACTGCCCGAGTTTAGGCAGCTGCTATTTTCTTCATTTGCCTCTCAGTTCTTTAGTCTGATGTTAAGAGCCTCAGAACTTCTTTCAAGGTATGCTTTACAGTCTTAATTTCTTATAAGTGAAAATATCTAAATCCATTATTAAGACCAAACATATCCATGTTGGGACTTTAATGCCCATAGGGATTAACCTATTCTTCACTATTTAGTAAATGCAAAAAAGAAAAAAAAAAAGAAAAAAGAAAAAAAAAGATTACTCTCCCCCTCATAATTGTACATTTTTCTGAATGCCTGAAAGGGACTCAGTAATCTTTATAAATGATTCATCAAAAGAAATAACAAGGGAGAGGAGTTTAGCAATGCAAGCCTGAGCAAGATGAAGTCACTGAAACAGCTCATTATAACGGAGAGACTGAATTAATGAATGAAAATATAAAAATTTAAATAAAGAAACAAAAAGTGCCTTCAAATAATTAGAATCCAAATAATCTAATTAAGGGAAAACAATATAGGATAAAAGTAGTACACATGATGTAAAAATGATCCGCAGATTATTATGCAAAAAGATAGTTTACAAACAACTTTATTTTGTCCTGTTTTCAAGTATTTCTTTATAAAGAATGCTTCAATACCTTGACCTATATTAAACAGACCACACAGTAAAGGAATATTCTGTTCTAAGGTAGCCTAAACAGACCGCAAGCAAATACTTGGAAAAAAGGTGGTTAACAAAGACTGCTTTCATACCCAGGAGATTTTCTGAATTTCATAGCTTTTAGAAGTTCAGTCTACATTTAGCCCAAAGAATATCAGTCAGCTAAAGTTACATGTAGGCATGGACATTATACAGGTCAAGAAATGCAATGCAAACACGTATTTCTGCAATCTGTAAACATCTGCTTGAAGTGGGAAAAAAATAAAGGTACAATGTAAAGAAGGGAAATGAAAATTTGGAACAAAAGAACCTGGTGTTAAAAACAATTAACTCACTGCTCCAGTTCTGGAGTTCTTATATTTTACTTAATTTATATTAGCACCCAATCAGTCAGGTTCAAAGGAGAAAGAATTGTTACTTAACGTCACTAAGTAACCTGCTTAGAAGTGTTACTGTAGTATATGGCAATCAAGTATATTACTGCTAAAGCTCTCAAATATTGCCTATCTTGATCAAGACTTAAGCATTAACTAATGAGAGAAATAATTTAAATAGTAACAGGTGAACATACAGGGTATTAAAAGAAAACTTTGTGATCATGCACATCATGATGAACAATAATTCCTTTAAATGTATAAGTCATTAAATACAACACACTTTCTAGAAGTAGGCACTGAAAATAGCAATGTGCTAAATTTACTAAAATACACAAGAAAACGCTAGTATTAATTTAAAATTACCATTTATTTTTCACAAGGTCACATAGTTTTTAAAAACACTATTTTGGCACCTTAGACTTCATGGTTTAATGGTTGTTTCAAGTTTGTTTTTTTTTAAATTACAAACAGTAGATACAGTAGGAATATTTAAAACTGATTCCTTTATACATGGCAAGTCAAACCACTTAGGTTCATAAAAAGAGTCTTTTGCAACTTCATTTTCCTGATATAAAATTCAAGTAAGAATAGAAAATTGTGTTTACAAAACATCCTGATATTTCCTTACCAATGCTTTGAAAACAAGATTCTGCTTTCTAGTGTTGATCTGGTACATCTACAAAAATACCTCATTTCAATTGAAGGACACTTGGCGAAGAGAAGTAACATTTTAACTGGATGAGTTCTTTAAAAAAATTTTGCAATATTACATAGAAGTGCACACTTTTTATCTAAGTTATTCAGTCTGTTTCTTCATTTCTACAATGAATCCTTTTCAGCAATGCACATATTTCTTTTCAGAGGAGATGCATTTTAGTACGTTATATCAACAAACATTTTTAAAAGGTTTAACTGAGCGGTTTCATGAAGTAGCCACCAACATGAATAATTTTTTACTTAAATGAAAAATTTTATTCACTTTTGCTGGGGACTGGGATTCACTTGATACTACTGCTACATGCTCTTCTACTGGTATCTTTAAAATATAAATACCAAACAAATTCAGCTGTTTCACTTTACTGAAGGAAAACCAGAAAA